CTCTTGCATGGGTCTGAGAGCAGCACAATGTGGAAATAACCTTGTCTTATAGCACATCTCCTCAGTGTCACTATGTCTAGAGGAACTATAAGGTGTGTTGAAGCTATGACCTAGGCACAGTACCAATAGCAATACAAACAGATATCGCTCACAGGCTAAGAGTTAGGTGGCAGAAATTATGTTACAAACCAAGTGGATAACGTCTACAACTTTCTGATATATGAATCTAGGCCAGGGCAAATGTGTCAGTGACCCTGTAGACATGCATTGTCAAAGGACTCTGGGTTTCATGCAGTCGGAACAAACTGCATTACGTGAAGCATAAAATTCCTTAGCAGAACTTGTAAGTTGATGAGAACGTGTGGATTTAAATATTGTTGCAACCTCCATTCCTCCAAGTGTCCCACACGTTCCAATTTTGGTGGAAGACCACCAAGGGAGGAAAAAGCGAAGGAAGTTATCTCTCGAACGACCCCTGCTTGTCTATTTTGGACAAAAGGTTAGATATCAAGGAGGCCATTGGGGATTTTCAGACTCTAGCCAAAAATCAATGGGCTGTTACAAGTATATGCATAATCTATTTCTGTTTGGTTATACATGGTGGTAAATCCAGTGAGAGGTAAGTTAGGAGGGTGAAGGGAATAGAGCAGGAAGTGATACGTGTGATGAGGTTATTGATAGTCTCCCAGAATGCGCTAAACTGATCGCAATGCCACCAGGTATGCATCATGGTACCTTCTACGCTGTCACATCTCCAGCACTGCAAGAATATAGTTGAATAGATTTTGATTAAAAGAAAATGTGTGACATTGCCAGTGTGTTTTAAAAGGGCGCTTAATTCTGAATATATATGATTGATAATATTAAAGCAGCTGTATTACATATTGCAGATATCCCAAAATCCACAAACAAAAAATCCAGAAAACTTCAATTCAATGTTTAGGTGATACACCCCACCACCCAAACATTAAAGTGCGTGTGCAGATTTTGTGTAGCCTTGTTGGCACTGTGTACCAACAATACATAAATTTGCGAAATATATGATTGATAATATTAAAGCAGCTATATTACATATTGCAGATATCCCAAAATCCACAAACAAAAAATCCAGAAAACTTCAATTCAATGTTTAGGTGATACACCCCACCACCCAAACATTAAAGTGCGTGTGCAGATTTTGTGTAGCCTTGTTGGCACTGTGTACCAACAATACATAAATTTGCGAAGGACCAAACGAGCAGATCAAATGCTTTTTCTGCGCCTAGCGCTAGGAGGAGACCGCCCCGACTAGTCCCCCTAAGGCATGCCACGACCATAGTCATTTTTCTAGTGTTAGCAGGGCCCTGCCTCCCCTGGAAAAAGCTGGTCTGGCCGTCTTGAATTAAGTAGGTTAGGATGGGGCCTAACCTGTTAGCTAAAGCTTTGGTGTACAACTTTGATATTTAGTAGTGAGATGGGGTGGATGTTCTTACATATATTTGGATGTTTGTCCAGCTTGGGGATGGTGATTATCGTGGCTAAAAACATCTCAGATGAGCCGCACGACGAGCTTGATCACAGACATGGCTTAAACCAGACCCCCACCTATCAACACTGTAATTCTAAAAATCAAAGGCTCATATCTCATTGACAAATTAACAGCTAGTGTCAGGGATACAAGGCTTTTGAAGAAAGTATGGGCACATTGAATCAATAGCGACGTCGGGTACTGAAAAGGTCAGGGGGATGTAGCCACTCTCACTCCGTGGTTGCTGCCGATCCTGGCACCCCACTCCCTCACCTGTCACCCACTAGCCCTACCTACTCACATGAGACACACTCACTCAAGCTCACCTTCACCACCATTACCACATATACCTCGACAACGGAATACATTCCAATAGCAAATAGTTTACAACACTTTTTGTCCTGTTACCACCCCCCCAATCACATACTATTACTGTGCTGCGCTCTCCTCCATCCTTTTCTCGATTCATCTGATTTGTGAATAATGCACAGAACTGTACTTGAAACATGGCTCTACCAATTCAACAGGGCACCCAACGGTTCATTAAAATACTTAGAGATACAACACAGTATGCCCAGACATACGTTTGGGGTTATTCAATACTTCCTCTTATCTTTACCAGTTATCTAGGTTTTGTTCTTATCTTTCTTTTCATCAAAATAAATAAAATTGATGGCTTGGGAACTTGAAGGGACTCTCCAGTGCCAGGAAAAAACAGTTTTCTTGGCACTGCAGGATCCTGCAGTGCCACCCTCCCTCCTGCCCCCCATTCTAGGTCAGTTAAAACCTATGCAGCTACTTACCTGAGTCCAGCACCGATGTCCCTCGGCACTGGGTCAGGCTTCGCCCCCACTCTTCCCCCTCAGACGTCCGCACGCGCATTAGACCTACCCATAGGAAATTATTCAATGCTTTCCTATGGGGAAAATCTGACGCTGAAGGTCAGTGAGGACGTCCAGCGTCAGATATCCGACCAAAGGTCGGTTTGGATTCTGGAAGCCCTCTAGTTGCTGTCTGTTAGACAGCCACAGAGGGCAGACTTAGAGCTGCGATGTAAACATTGCAGCACTATGTGAAATGGGGGCGCAGCACCCAGACTACTTCAATTAGTCTAAGTGGTATGGGTGACTGGAATTTCCCTTTAATGTGTTACAGGAGCAATAAGCAGCAACGTACCATTGACACCAATTGCTTTTCTATCCTGACAGATTGTGATGAATGCTCTGTCATTGATCTATGTTGATATACAATGCACCAATAATCTCAGGTGGTAGCGAGCTGCTTTCGCCTGACTCATGCAATATTGCATGGAGTTGAGAGGCGAGAATGTTTATAGTATGTTGGCCCTGAGGTTTCTGTCACAATGCAGCTAGCCTGGTGTCTCCTTTGGACTTCATCCTGAATTCTTATGTTGATATAAGCCTGATTTTACTAAAATTTGTGCAGGTTCTTTGTCATGTTATACTGCAATCTTGGTCACTCCTTGTTATTACACAAAAAAAAAAAATCCAAGTTCATGATATACTGTTCAACTTTAGGAACATGTTTGGCAAAGAGACGTCTTACCATAACAAAATGCAACAATACACAAACCGTACCACAGTACCAAGTCTCTTTCAAAGGCATGTTATGTATGTAAATTGAACACATGGAGCGGGGCCCGGCTACCAAGCAGAATGCAGGCTGAGGGAGCTCAACTAAGTTATTTTGCTCCAGATCGTGTAGGTCTACATATTTTGAAGCAGCAAACACTTCATAAGATCAGGGGAGAGCCTGAGCCGATCTTACCAGCTCCTTTGAGCAATTACCAGGTCCTGAGGTCTACTGCGGCCTGCTGTTTGTCCCAAGGTGAGGGAGACAGCTGATCCCTCATGCATTGACTTCTGCTCGGGCCATGCCTCCACTTTGGAATGGTGGGGCTTATCCTGGTCCCAACTGGACTCACTCCCTACAAGCATTGAACAGTGTGGTGCAGATTCAAACAAGATTGCACACATGGAGCAAGCAACACTGGAATTGGCACCAAAGGTGTTCTAGACAAGCCTTCCTCTTTTGACAGTGGCTAAACTTGAAGCCCTATTTAAAGAGATTTTGGGCAACACTAGAGGGTCGTTTACAGCTGGAGACACCTTACCTTATTCCCCAGAGAAGAAATATTGCATTAGGCATAATAGCATTAAAAAAATGTTATATGGAAAAATAACTTGTGTATATATGTGCCTTGCAATTCATATATGCTTCTCTTAAAGGATATACATTTATAAGCACTCTGAAAATAGTCAGTGAAATTTGTAGTGTCAAATAGTTAGAAAATATTCTAACCCAGTATTTAAAGTCAGGAACATAAACATGTATTCATGACACCATAGTGCTAAAACCACCATCTACCCCAGTCCCCACCTAAATATATTTAAAAAAAAAAAAAATTACTTTTTTGATTCCAGTATGCTGGCTCTGTCACTAATTGCCTTCTTGGCAGACAGAAGGGTCATTCAAAGCCAATCAAAATGCTTTGTTAGAGGAAAGATTGGATTGGCTATAGATTGTCAAATACACAGATTGGGGCTATGCCAGCACAAATCACAGTCCTGGCCAATCAGTATCTCCGCAAAGAGAAGAAAAAAAAAAAAAACAATGCATATCTAGTCAATGCAAGAAAGTTCAGTATCTCCATGCAGCACCTCAAACACTATAAGCCAGGAGAAATTGTGTGGCCAAGTCTCTGCTCACAGAAGTCTGCATTTATTTTTGTATATGGTAATGTATTTTCCTACTAAATTAGTACAGTAGAATATATTGGTGCTTTATAGATGACCAACAAAAACATTGACAGGCAGCCAAGATGGAGGCACACATTTACAGGAATAAAAAGCAACATTGGAATTTGAAGTTAAGATTTTATTGACCCTTTTAAGGAACAGTCATGTTACGTCTAAAGTTTGTCACTGCAATTTCATTAGATTAACTAAAATATGCAATATGGAATAGAGAAGACAGCTTGCTTCAGTTTGTGACAGGAAGAATGAGAACAAGCCAGTTATTGAAGTTTGAGATTTATTGTTATCCGATACTAGGACCCAAGTAGCAAACAATGCAAAACAATGTAAAAAAACAAAACCCAAACACTTTACACTGCCACATTACTTTGTGTTACAGGTCATTCTACAAGAAACATTAAATCTGCCTTATGTTGTACAAATACATTCCAAGAATTCACAGTATTTTCAGGTTAAAAATACTAGAACCTAGCATGGTAGACTGAAAATAAAACAGACATTTAACCTCAGGTAGCCCTAACCAAACATAATTACATCTTAAAATCACATGGAAAAAAAAATAGACTCATGTATATGCAAAATTAAATCCATTTACTTTAGAATATTTTCTTATCAAATACAAAAAACTGACAAATAATGCCAACAAGACCAGGTTTAAAAATTGGATGGCACGACAGGGAAAAAATTAAATTCAGAAAGCAGATATTGTGCCATGTTTAATTTTCTTCTTCTAGAGCAACCTGTGGGTCACTAGTAAAGTCTTCTACCTCAGCCTCAGATGGACCAGGCTCAGCTGCAGTCTCCTCTTCTTGCTGAACTTCAGATGTATCTTGTGGAGTTTCAAATGGATTTTCACCCTATATTTAAGAAAAATAGCTAAATTACTGTAATACAGATTAACCAATCCCAAACAAACATCACAATTAGACATTCTGCCTTTTGATAACGACAAATAAGATACAATTTAGCAAATTACTTCCAAAAATTAAATCCCATCACAGCAGTCCTTAGCCTCAGTCATCACTATATCAAAACAAACTTCACGGAAGCAAGTTTTAAAATGCAATATTTGTCATTTCCTTGTCGGCTGCTTTCAGATCAGCAAAAAACAATTGTTAGATATTCCACAGTAGTAAGGGCTTTTGTTGCATGTGCTCTACTGGCTTCTGTAATCCTGACAGACCAGTCACTTGCAGATAGAAGTTATGTGAAGAGTGCAAATAAAAAAAAAATGTTACCTTCAAATAAAGTTCATATCTGGCCTTCACAAGTGGATTATTCAAGATGCTTGTAGCAGTCAGAATACTTTCCCTCTTAATTTGATCCTTATAAGCCTGAAAAGTTAAGACATTAGAAATTAATTTAATCAAGAGTGGAAGATGCAAGAAGAGCATTAAAATGTTTGATATATTGAAGTTAAGTTGGTATGTGCCCAAAAAAAAAAAAACAAAAAAAAAAAAACACACAAACAGCCAAGGCCAACAAACTCAAAAATTATCTGGTTGTGTTTCAACTGTATACAGACATCCTTACTGCATTAGAAAATTTAGAAGGAATAACACAGTAAGTGAATGCTTATAGCACTCCAAAGTCCAATGGTGACCGAAGCCAACGCCCTGCAAAGACTTCATTGAACTGCATATGGAAGTCTGTACCTGACAGCAATACATACTTCAAACAGGAGATCTGCAACTTTTGCAAGCTAATTTTAGATACGCCAGTAAAAAGGTCATAATGAACTGCATGTTTTCATTGGGGTATATACCAAATTCTGATTTGTTTTTCTATTTGAGCAATGTAGTAACCAATATTCAGAAGATTAGACAAAACCTAGCAATCATTTGATCCAAGGAAAGTTCCATGACTCACCACTTTGTTCTTTGCATGATCAGTTGATTTAAGATGCAGCTGCACAGAGCTGTGAAGTGCAGGGACATAGACACTGCAGGCACTACAGTGCACAGTTTCAACTTTCATCATATGATCCTCAGGTGTGACACCTAGTAGGGGAAAAAAAAAAGTGTACATTTGATTACAATAAGTAAACCAAAGGAATCTAGTCAAGACTTCATGTGCAGTGAATATGAGCAGTGTTCACTAAAGAGAATATAAAAGGTTAAAAATTAAAAAGGCCAGACCATTAGTTTGAAGTTCACTTTGAATTCCCACTTTAGGCTCTAAATGCATGAATCAGCAACAGCAGTTGGAACACTATTGCCATAGTGTGAAAGAACCATAAACCTGCACATTACCCACTGTGTCAGTGTAACTGCTCATCCAAGGCTGGTTTGTGGGAAAAAAAAATGATATGCAGCCAATGTGATAAGACTTGTGGGTACATATTTCTGCACTGAACTAAATTCCATGCAATCAGTAAACCAAAAAAACCAACAACCAAGATATCCCTAAACAATATTTTATCATGTCTTGATTTTTGTAATTTAACTTATTTGGAACAGAAAGATTTATTGAAACAGGTGGCTTTGCATAAAAGTTTTCTGTTCCAAAACATGAAAAACAATCCAGTTTATGCATACCTTCCATAATGTCTTTCTCTGCAGTCTTTGCAGCCTCAATTTGTTGGGTGGATTGTGTTTTCCGAGCTGCTGTTTTCTTGTACTTGTTAACAATACATTCCTGAAAAGAAAGGGCTAAATAGTTAAACACTACATTGCTAGGAATACAGGTTTGTATAACTGACGTTAAAGTGTTCCTTTAAGAGTTCAGTATCCATGTATGCTAGCTGTGGTCAGCGTTTAGCTAGAAACATAATATAACCTTTCAAGTACAGAGAATGTATGAGTTCAGAAGCCAGTGCCAAACAAGGGCCATCAATTTACTTCATTTGATGTTCATGTCAAAGGAAGTCTGACAAAAACCAAACCCTGAAGAAAATTGTGGAAAAGACTTACATGTAAAAATTCCATTACGGGCTTATCAAATTTGGTTTGTTTCTGGATGTGATCCAACATCTCTTGGTGACATGGACTTTCCAAGTGTTCTTCAATACCCTTTTCTTCAAATGAGCGAAACTTGCAAAAAGAGCATGTAAATGCCATCCTGAAAGAGACATACATAATAAACACTAACTGTTCAAATTTTGACACAGCAATGTAGGCTGGTTTGATTATAAGTAACATTTACAAAATTAGAAATCACTATAGTGCAATGATTGCCATCACAGCATGTCAACAATGACTGATACATTCAGAATAACCTACATATTCAAAAAGCCCAATTTCGAGTTCTTAGTTGAATTTTCCAAAGCAACACAGTTAAGGAACACTTCAGGCACTCTAATCACATCAATGTATTAATGTGGTTATGGTACACAGATACCACTTTTCCAGTTTAATGTCACAGTCCTCACCAGCTACAAAGGAAATATCCTCCCAAGTAGTGCAAGTGGGTGGACGACTTAGAACGTGATTTGAAAACTGGTTTAATTAGATCCGGTAAGAGACGCACCAAGGACCTTCAAAACACCAACTTAAAATGCTAGGGGGACTGGAGCATTCCTTTAAGTGGTTCCCAAACCAGCATGTCATAGCAAAATGCCAACACAAGAGAGGGATGAAACTAAGCAGGAGCTTTGATTAGCGCTTAAGGTAAGCCCTCAACTGCCAGATTAAAGTAGGAGATGGAGGTCCACTGTGTGCCACTAACAATACAAAAAGTGTTAAGACTTACAATGGAGGAGCACGTGGCAAACTATTGGTGGCTATGATGCTTTGAGTGTCCCTTTAATACATACTATATAGCAAATATGACCCATATGCAACTGGTCATCCCAATACAGTATAGCTACAATGCAATTTTTTTTTATAAAGATCTATATACCAGCATGTTAGGTGACAATTCAAACAGATTCCCTATCATTCAACACTGTAGTAAGGCCGTTTTGTCACGTGTATAAGCCCAACGCGAGAATTACATTTTAACTTCTACATACAGTTCAGGATGACCGGTTACACTTTTAAGTGCAAGAGAAACAAGCATTACACAAGTAAAATGTGTGTTCTTCTTGCACTCAAAAAGACACCGCAATAAAAAAAAATATAAAAAGAGGGGGCAGCATGAGGTGATAGAAAGGGTTAAAAAAAAATAAGCCGCATTTAAAAGAAAAAAAATTGGAAGAGAGGGTAGAGAATGAAATTGGAAAATGGGTGTAAATAAACCTTACCAAAAACATTTGCTCTAACTAGAATAATAAAGCTACCTGTACCCATCTCCATATTTTTCGCTGTTTTTCTCTCTTCTACGCCTTTGCTTCTCCCGTCTTGCTTCTGTTCTGCGCTTCTCTTCTTCCTCTTCATTCACAGGTGCTGCATTTAAACAAAACATTGATAAGTAGTGGTCACAGGGAAGAGACATTATGTTTCTTCCCCTTTTATAAGGGAACTACCCACAACAAATTAGAGGAAAATAAACTCATTGCAGGATATTAAAAGTGTGTACAGCTAGTATTGTAACATTATCCAGATAGTCATGACAAAGGGGATATTAAAAAGGCACAAGTTGTGCATGAGTAAACATCTACTGCTAGAATGATAATGAAGTCTTGCTTTTGGGACCTGGAATACTGCTAGTTGACTCATGTCACTGGTGATAAACTAGTACTCTATGTTCCCTTGGAATTGTGTACTTTGGTTTGAGCACTACACCAAGATTTTTATTCTTGAAACTGCATGTTTTTTACAGCCTTCTCAATGTGGATCGTTAACACTAGCTACATTAATTTCCCATACAGCATGTTACACATATTGGTTACTAAATTCAGACACTAAACCACATGTACATTGATATTACCTGGAGGTGGAACATTTTTAGTTGGTTTTGTCTGTCCTGGTTTTGAGAGTTTTGCTTTTTTGCCAAAAGCACCAGGCTGCTTAAAAGTTTGCATTTTCCTCTTCATTCCTCTTGACATTCCCATGCTGGGCTGGTTCTTATAATCTACAACTATCCCAGCTCTGCGCATAAAACCATAGTCTGCCATTTGCTGAAATCATTGTAAATAATAAAAGTTAGTAAACAATGGATAAGATCATTAAATTAGCAAAAAACGTTAGCCCTTGCACGTAAAAAAAAAAAAAAAAAAGTCTTAGCATTAACACTCACTCAAGCAGTAAAAGGGAAATTGAAACAGATGACAGGGTCAGCAATAAAGAAAGACCCAGGAAGTACAACTATATTCAAACATGCCCATTAACAGCAATAAGTTTGGGAAGAAAATACAATTAAAAACATTAAATTGTGAATGTTAAAGGTGCAATGCATTTTATCTAAAAATAAAATTTAAAAAAAAAAAAAATCACACAAGTTTACACTTGGAGAAGCGAAACTGAAACTAGAATGACTATAGCTCATGAATAACTGAAAGCAAAAATATTCAGACTGAAAGCAAAAGGGGTGCTTTCAGTGAGAAAACCAGTCAATTCAGAAGGGGGGAAGTTAGCCCAACATTGGAAAAAGCACATGATGAATGCATTAAGCATTTTCAGAATCCACATGTGCAGAACAGTTACTGCACTTCCATTTTAATTGGCTACAGATTTATTTAATGCATTGCACCTTCAACCTACTCAGAACTTCAAAAAGGTCTTCATGTAACCTTTTGTAATTAAAATTTTAAATACTTATTTGAGGTCAAGGAAAATTACAGATCCTTGTAACCATTAACATAATTATAATTTTTTTTCTTTCATACAGAAAGAACAAAACAGAATTTAAGGCAAAATGCCACAATTTAACGTTTAAAGCGCAGTTGCTTTAAAAGCCAACTTCAAATTGACATTTTGCATTAGCCTAAATAAGACTTTACAATAGATATGGACTTAACGCCATTTTAAAGTTCTGGTCTTTAAATAATTTAAATAGACTATCAAAAAGAATCTGAAAAGATTCTGTACTTACTCCTCTGCCACGGCCTCTGCCTGTCGAGGGTCCTCCAAAAGCATCATTGCTTCTGCCGCCAAACGCACTGTCGGGATACGCAGGCATTCCTCTCCCCCGTGAGCCTACTGACGCAGGCTTCATATAGGGTGAAGAAAAACTGCCGTAGGAAGAGTAATTGTCTCTTCCTCTTTCATCCATAAACCCAGTCCTCACTTTTGAGCGTGTGAAAGATGAGTCCCAGCTAGACCCGCCCTGGTTTCTACCTTCAAAAGAGTCAACGCTATTCCGGTAGGGGTTTTCATATCGACCATCATAACTATCTCCGAAGTGGCTTTGGTCGGGATCATTATAACCATAGCCAGATCTGTACAGATCTCGCCCACCCATAGAAGACCTGGAGTCATAAGACTCATAAGGTCCAAACCTGGAAAAATTGATGTGAGGAGAAAAATAAAGTAAGCTTTACCAGTTATACAATGCAGAACATACAGCATCAGTTGACATTTATCAACTTTATAAGAAATGTTGAAAAGAGCAAGGCAAGTACAATAGCTAACCTCTTTTCAGAGTTTAGAATAAACGAAAGCAGCGTTTCATGTTTAATTGCCTGGCCAAACATTACAAGTTACAGAGAAAAAAAGCGCTTAAGGAACTGTTCACTGTCAGTATATCAGGAACTAAATTATCAAAATACCAACCCCATTTTAAACGGGCACTTAAAGTGGTGAAGTCAGTGATTACATATTTTGAATTTAAGTTATATATTTGCAGGGCTTGGTAAAATGTTGGTAGAACGTAACAGGAAAATAAGAAAAAAAAACATGGTTTATTTGAATAGTCGGATACAGTGTCTGGGGATATTGTGGAAGCCTATGTATACAAACACAAGGTGGTTTTTTAATATACATTTCCCAAGTGTCAAGATCTACATGAATCGCTGCTTTTATTATTTAAAAATAACCCACTCAAAGCTCCATGTATCACATTTAATATGATATTTTTCTACATTTGTAGGGAAAACCTATGCATTTAATTCGGCAGATAAGTGGATATAAAATTTAAAACGCTGACTTGGTGGCACAAACAAGGAAGATCTGGATATCTAAAGACACTATATACACATGAGACACAGTTTTAGGACACAAGTGTCATGGTTTTGAGGATTAAGATCATAAATTAACAATCCACTCATCTGTGGGATGTTTTAGCAGTGTACCTTTAGCAGGGCTTAAAATTTCAGTCCTATGCTACTGGCATTGCCTTAAGTTAATAGCCACTGCAAGCCTGAAAGGTGCACAGCAGAGTCACCAGGTCTAAATATTCACTAGCTAACAGCTAGTGAATAGTTGGAGTACTGTCTTTAGTTTAAAAAAAGCTTGTCTGTCCACAAAGCTATTACAATATGCAGACCTATGAAGTGTTGTGCTATGCACGATACCTTCTGCTTAAGGGAATATATGAAAAATAAATTACATTATGCATTAAGTTAAAGTCATAGCAACTGCTGCTAAATATTCCATATTGACTCCTCTCAGTGAGAGGTCAAGCTACATTTTGTTAATGTATGTTAAAAGGAAAGTCACTAGCACAACACTTTCATCTTTCACAAAAATTCCCTTTAATACTAGGGAGGGCCACTATCTTGCCATTCTGCATTTACTGTAGAATTTGTAAAGCCATGTTAATGCATACAGTTATCTTCATTACAATCTGAAGATCTAATATAATGCTTAAAATCTGCACTAGAACTTCTAAAAAAGAGAAACAGTAAGATGCACCCCCCCCCCAGAAAAACAATTCTATATGTTATTCATCCATATCAGAATATGATAATGTAAAGATGCAATAATAGCATTTCTCTAATTCTATGAACATATGCATGTTGCATTACCTCAGCTCCCAATAGTAATTTCTAAATCTGACACTAGTAATTCATATTACAGAAAGAAAATAAATCAACCCCAGTTCTGTCAAGTGTATAACAGGAATTTCCTAGTTCATAGTGATTTTAAAAAAGTCTATATGGAACAAGTGTATTTGCCAGTAGACAAATGCACACATGATTAGTGTTACATTAAAGCACAAGTCATATTGTTCCAGTTTAATGCAGGCAAAAAACACTGTGCCAGGAACAGTGCATTTGTACTAAAATACTAACATGCTATGTGATATCATGTACAGATTGTAAATTCTCTCAACAGATGTGCTATGAGTACTATAAGCTTGTCTATAGAGTATACAGTTCACATTCCTAAGATCACAAAAACGTACAAGTCACACTATACTTTGCAAGAAGTTACCTGTCATTTGATTTTTCCATTCCATACGAGTCCATAGGTCTTTGACCAAAACCACCATGTCCATACTCACGATCCATGTCTAGAGGGGAACAAAAACTTTTTTAATTTCTACTAGACTCCCAGGAGAAAATAAAGTCATTTGCTATAGAGACACTAGTCACCAGAACAACAGTCTACAGGCAGCCCCTACACACTTTGTTTATAGTTAGTGTTTATAATGGTTCCTAGTAGCACCTTTAGGGGCAGTCACTCAGACATCCAACAGATGTGCTTCCTGACAGTGTGCCTCACAGATGCCTTGATTCAATACATCTCTATAAGATGATGCTTTGGTGCAGTGTTTCGTTGCACGTGTTTAAGAGCATCCCAATAAAGCATTGTCTGGAATCTGCAATATGGATATTCTAAGATGGTGGTGTCGATTGTAGGAGAAAATAAGAGTTTAAAAAAAAAAAATTCAATTTAATAAGAGCAGCAGAAGCTACTCAAAATTAGCTCCATTTTACAGGTTTATTCAACTTTGGATAGTAAATATGACCTATTAACCAAAAAAGGTTAACCTGCCATCAGAAAGCCATTGTTAGTTGTAATATGTTAAAGGCTCCTTGGTAGAACCATTTTAGACCACAAGCTTGGTAGAAAAGACCCACAATATGCAATTGTTTGTTCATTTCAATTCTAACCATTTACTGGTTTTAAATATACAATCTACTGCTAATCAAGACAAAATGAGAGCTGCAGGAAAAAAAAAAAAAAAAAAGAATATATACACACATAAATAAAACTAGCGAACCTTGGCTTTGGGTTCATACGATGCTCTGCCAGCAAAAAGCTGACCCAAGCACCATGGCAAGTAATGGGAAAAACCTGGAGGTGCCAAGGTCACTCAAAAACCTTATTGTCTTATTGCTGGGGGAGGGAGAGCACCAAAGAAAGCGTTTAGTGATCGATGGCTTTTACATTTAAAAAAGTTATATACATACACATATTTCGAAGGCAAAGAATGAGGCCGAAACAGCCAGGCTTCGACTATATCCGAGGGAGAATAAATCTCCAAATCGGTTATTTTTGCTTCACTTACCCGGCAGGATTAACCGTATAAGAAACCCCGAGTTCAGGGACTAACCGTGTGAGCGCAGGAAATGAAATGGCGGCAGTGCACGCGGGCTGGCGGTTACACTGCCTCAGGGCGTGACTCGCTAACAAAGGAGCCGCCATGTTAGGGATCCGCAGACTAGGCCTCAGCGAGCCCAGATTAAGGGCTGCGAAGCTACACGGAGCCGCAGAGAGGCCACACGGACACTTACCTATGACTGCGAAAGGCGGCTGTGCTGCTCGTTGAACGGAAGAAACGTAAAGCTGCGGCTGACAGAGGGCGATCGGCTCGAACTAACCGTCTTGCTCGGGAGACGATCTGAAAATGGAAGTCGCTGCAACGTCTCGCGCAGAAGAAGAGGCAGACGAAGGACGTTGCGTCACTGCGGTCGTCAACCTCCCTCCTCTGCGATTGGCTGGTTGGCTGCGGCCTCCCCCACGTGACTTACACACGACACGCTATTGGCTGGTTACGGTTTAGCCGTCCAGATGGCAAGCTGTGTGGGCAGTCGCAGTGCAGCATGGGAGAGGGAGGGGGAGGAAAGGCGGTGGTTGGAAGCCATTGTTATCCCAGTGTTTACCGAATTCAAATGGCGAAATGTAAACTGAAACATCCAATCTGGGAAAATTCTCTATGAATTAAAGCCTCAGATCAGCTGTTTCAGCCTGATTTCTGCCATTTGGATTTCTGGTCTCTACCATTAGATGCTTAATAAATAAATAAAATAAATGAGCGAAATTAAAAAGTTTATCCCAAATTGTCTATTTTTCTTCCCCTAATTTACTTTGGTCTAAATTATGGTGTTTATTTTCACCACAAAAAAAAAAAATTGAATATCAGGTTATAGTAGCCAAGCTGAAACAATAGCTGAGTTGGAACATGTTTCAAATCCAGCTTTTTTAAAACTTAGATTTTTGCTCTTTGAATTTCATTTGGTTGCAATTCACTTTTTAGTGAATAAACCTCACTTGTATGCCCAGTTGGTAACATTGACCTAATATATACAGTTAGTTGGTATTTTCCTAGTTTAGTGACTAATCCCCTATGTGTGAGGATGTTCCCATATTACAGGAATTATCTCGGATTTATTCACTTAATATTATCAGGCGCTGAATTTCACATTTTAGTCACATTTCTGAAAAATAGTAGAGCTGGGTTGGAGATATTTTTTGTGACATTTGTATGGCCTAAAATGTATTTATTTATTTTAAAAAAAATTACAGGAAGGATACATTTATATTTCTCTCATTTTCAAGTTCTAAAATGTTACATTTTATGTTGAATTCCCATCAATTCATGGAATAACCCTCAAAGTGACCCTGCAGAGAATATGATAGATACACACACACACATATATATATATAAACAGAGTCCTGATGAAAGTCTGTGAGTAACAGACTGAAACGACGATATTTTTTTGTAACGTTTATTAAAAGTTAAGTTTTATACTTTTTCAAAGTCCTGGGAGTGCTATCTGAAATATCTTTTGATATATATATATATATATATATATACATATATATATATATATATATATATATATATATATATATATATGTGATTTGTGCATACATATTTAAATGTGGAACCCTGTATCCTCAACATGATGTGTGTTGTGTTCTATCAACATAAAGCCTGAGGGCTGTGAACAGTGACTACTCTTTTTATGTTACAAAAAAGTTAACTAACAGGTTGTATTATAAAAATACCCTGTTTTGAATTTATTTACCGAATAGGGAACGGTGGTGATTTGAAAACCAAAATACAAAATGTACTGTATGTTAATGAATTTTCATAATACCAGAAGCCACAAGGGAATAGGAATTTTTTAGTACATAGATTAGCAAATATCTTTAATTAATCTAGTGATCCATCTCCAGCTACAATTAGGTAAGGTATAAGAGTTTCAGTACATGGTAGACATCGGAATGGGGACTTGCAGAGAAATGTAATTTAAAAAATTAGCAGAAGGGCTATGGAGTTAAGAAGTTAAGGGGTAATGGTATGGCATGCATAGTTACCATTTCTCTACCCAGATTTATCAAGAAAGGTAACTATAGCCAGTCCATGAGTGAAACTAGCACATCTCCATTGGAGGACATGGTGTTGATAGAGACAGTTTTACCGGGTGTGTCCAAGCAAAGTGGTGCCCAGGGTAGTGTCAGTTCCAGGTGTATTGTTCCAGCCATGGGGCCCAAATCCTCCCACCATTGTTTTTTGCTCAGCGACTTAAACATAAAAATTGGAGGTCTTGTATCATTGTTCCACAATTTCCAACTAACTAAATAAAGCCCTGGGTGTGCCAACATGAAAGACACAGTGTATGTTGTGAGCAGACACTTCATGATATCCTCTAAATGCTGGAAGTCTAATCACATATATTAGAATGCTAAATAAAAGTGCTCTGGGTCTGTCGAGAATATTATTATAATTTTAAGAAATAATCCAAGCACATTGAGATCAAGTGGTCTGGACGTAACTACAACTCCCTTGAATCACTGGCCATTTATTGCATTCAAAGAATTCTGTGAATTGTAGGCTATCAACATCTTGGAGCCAAGGTTTGAGATCCCTGTCCTAAAATGTGCATTTGAGTTTTATATTGACCACAGTTCGTTTTCACTTAAATAGCTTAGATGAGTGAAAAAATACTTAATTTATTTGTCATCCTCATTTATTTTGGAGACTCCGTGATAAAAAAAAAAAAAAGCCATGTAAATATTTAATTTACGGAGTCAACCTAAGCTTAATAAATACTTTGCAGTAATGCAAAGTGATTATGGTGTTTAAACTTCCCAGAGGCCATTCCCATTTATGAGACTGCGTTATACTGGCAGTGAATGGAAAACTCACCCCATGGTAAACAAAGCACAGTCTTCTTGGGGCTGCCATAGACCAGCTTTGTTCTTTGTATGTGCAGCCTGTATACAATGCACACACATTAGACAAAAGGCTGTCTCCTCCTCTTTCCTCTCTGTCCTCAGCCAGTAGCAAAATAGAGCCCATTTCACTAAACACTATCTTTATAAAGCATGAAATAAGGTACAATGTTTGACCTAGACAATTCTTTTAAAGGGTTACTGCAACCCTTTTACGTGTAGAATAGAATAATGCGCTCAAGAGCATTTTCAAAATAAGTAAGGGAGAAGCAATTTTGTCTGTAGGCAGTGTGCAGTGTGCGCTGACAACAGACGCACAGAATTGACATTACGCAGCTGCACATCCATGTTTTGACCACCATGACAACTTCAAGAAGCAGATGGTCATGGTGGTTGGAGTAATCCGATGTACATAACAATATGTATGGCATGATTGCATTTTTTTTTAACATAGTTTTTTTTCTCATTGTTAATTTCTTTTTTAGATATACATAAGTGTATGCACATTTGCTAATTATTGGTTGAGGCCTATTATTGTTATTCTGAGGGTGTGGGTGTGTTTTCTTTGTATGTCATTGTATTGTTATATAGAAACTACCAAAATTCTAAGGCCTTCCTGCTTCTAGGTTCCATAGCACCTGTGGAAGATATGATTTGATCCTGCTTTGGTGGCTACTAAAGACGTTCACATTCAATTTATATTAATGTTTGCTAGTTTGTGTTTGCATTTTTCACGAGTGCAGCCATTTTTAATTTTTTTTACTAGATTGCATCATTATATAGTTTGTAAAACAAAACTCTGGAACCCAAGTTTTTGGCAGAATTATATGAAAAAACACTCCTATTTTGATTTTTTTCCAAAGTTAAATTAAATTCCAGTGTGACTATTGTCTCCAAATATCCAAATGTAAACCTGTATTCAATGCAGTGTAGGAATTAACATATTGTCCTAACAATGAATTGCTTGCAAATTAGTCCATTCAAGTGCAGAATTGGGGATTTCGATTTCCTCTTGGGATATTGAAATTAACTTCCATTTAATCACATTAGTATGCTGACTGTATAGAGGGGCAGTGGGTGTGCTGTGAAAAAAAGTAAAATACAAATAGGATTTTATTAAAGACACGGAGGCTCCTATTATGCTTCTCTTTCTTTAATTCTCCCTCAGCAGCGAAGAGAGATATATGCAAATGAGAGAAAAAATAAATAAATAACAATAACATTAGCATATGGAACAGTGCTCATAGGTATCCACCCCCTTAGTATATAAGGTGTAGCACTCCATGCTTCTTCCTCTTTCTTCGCTGCTCCCTCAGAAGATAAGTACACTCTCATAATTTCATTTGTATGTGTACATTGTGGGATGTTTCAGAGATTTATAGCTATTAGATTTATATCTTTGTGGTATTACTGTGGGGATACTCTTTAGACAGTTTATTACTCTTTTTCTCTGTTTTTCCCACTTATTTTCTTACACTGTACTGTGTTTATTCTGCTGTGACCGGCCCCTCTCTGTTAACTAGTATTCTTACTATTTCCCTCGTCCAGCCCCCTCCCTCCGGTTGGGGCTCCCTCCCCGGTCACAATCTGCCGGTCTTTCGCCAGGGGGACCCATCGGGAAACCCGCGGCATTTCCCGGCACTATTTGCATCACCGCCGGCCGGACCTACTTTCGTCCGCGCGGCGATTCACTTTCCCTTAGTTTCCCGCCGCTCGCGGACTCCGCGCATGCGCGGTAGCTCGCGGCGGCCATTTTCTTGGTTTCTGGTCGCCGGTTTAGGCGGCGGCCATATTCTCTACTCGTTTTCAGTGCCGTTGGACCCCTCCCTCACCGGATTTCGTTCCGGCAACCCCCTCATACTAGTACAGTTTGATTTTTCTCTGCATATATTTTCCTGGTATTAACCTTCCATCTCCCTGTACTTTTCCATCCTGTACCTGGGTTAATCAATCCTAGTACTCTGCATTTCACTCTATTTTCTATTTGTTATTTTTCTCACTTGCACTCTATTTACTCATCATGCAATCTGGCGACAAATGCCCTGGCAAACATAGCCCCTCTATGGCCACTACTGATCCTGATCCTCAGCTCGACCCTGGGCTCATGGGCTCTGAGGAATTCCAATCCCTTCTGGACACCACCATGTCCAAATCTATTTCCAAGGCCATATCTTCAGCCATGGGCGCGATGTCCTCTACCATCTCGGACTCCATCACGCAAGCGCTTAAACAGGTACAACCTCACCCTACCCCTGCCTTGACCCATATCCCTCCTGAAGGGAGGCAGCCAGGCCACAAAGCGTTAACCAAACGCAGACATTCACAAGACCCCCCCCCATGCAGGTTGACCCTGCTCTGACTGACATGCCTCAGGCTGTCCATGATGGCGCGCAACAACCGCGCAATAGAGCTTCTGGGCGAGCTACGGCTACCAGAGACTGGAAAAGGGCTAGAGCCCATGATATACTGTCTGACTCAGACGAGGAGGGGGATGAGGGGTCTGACGCCCCGTACTCTGACCCGTACGAGGACGAGCTCTCAGAGGGTGAAAGCCTCCAGGGAAAGCAGTTCCCTTTGACGGCAACGCGTACCACTGCTCATGCAGGGACGCCCGAGACAGAAGCAACCCGTGACCCTAAAGAGGTCACGCTATTCGACCCTGACAACCTAAGACACCCACGCTCTGCCGAGTGGGAACCATCTGAACACATCGCCCGATACCTAGCCCTCAGGGTACGCAAGTCCCTTTCTCAAGAGAGCCGTAATAAATTGAGAGCGGAGTGCCCCCGACCCATAATCCCTGATGCTGTGGCAAAAACCCCAGAAGTGGACCCTCAGATAGCCCAGTTTCTAGCCAAAACAGGCTGGAAGGCCAAGAGGGGACTGGACTACTCCCTCCGTAATTGTCAGGACAAATTCCTAGACACTCTGGGTCCTGTCACTAAATTATACGAACTGCTGGAAGCAGCTCAGTCGGGTGAGGCTCCAGTAGACTTTGAAGTAGCGTTTGGATGGCTCCAACGCTTGGTCTGCATGATCGGCAATGCCAATACTGCTATGTCAACAGAACGCAGGAAGGCCATCCTGCTGAAAATCGAACCCAAGCTGGCTAGTATGGCCTCCTCTGAACCAGGGGCCGCGGCTAAGGGTCTCTTGTTTGGCGAATCCTTCGTCAAAGACCTGGGCTCCTATGTCAAAACATTCACGGCACTGGATAAAGCCCAATCATCCATGAAGAGGGTATTCCACCAAAAGGTTTTCGGTGGGGCCGGTAGAGGTAGGAGCCGTCTATCCGGCCGCAACCCCCGGGGTTTCTCCAGACCGGGCAGAGGCTCCTCCAACACACAGAGACAGACCCAGGAACGCTCCTACACCCCGTTCTTCCCTTCTCGAGGAAGATCTTGGAATGCCCGTGGCGGCAGAGGAACAACCCCAGGAAAACGCCCTTATGGTGAGTACGATTTTTCCCCATTTTTCCCATATAAATGTGGGGGGCAGACTGGCTTTGTTTTCTCAAACGTGGGCCACTATCACGTCCGACAGTTGGGTACTGCAGACTGTAGAGGGTTACCAACTAGAATTGACAGGTCTTCCCTTTCAGGTTTCCCTCCCGCGTGTGCCACACATGCCACAGTCTCACTACGACCTCATCTCCACGGAGATAGAAACCTTGTACAACAAAAATGCCATAGAGGAAATCCCTCTAGATACCCCAGGTTTTATAAGCAACCTGTTCTTGGTGCCGAAGAAAGGCGGAGGTGTCCGCCCAGTTATCAACCTGAGGCCCCTCAATGCCTTCATACAATATCGGCATTTCAAAATGGAGGGCATACACTGCCTCCGAGACCTCCTTCTCCCAGGAGACTGGATGGTGAAACTCGATCTGCAAGATGCATATCTCACGATCCCGATAGCACCAAAACACAGGAATCTCCTACAGTTCCGGTGGGGCACAAAGAAATGGCGCTTCTGTTGCCTCCCTTTCGGGCTCTCCTCCGCTCCCTGGTGCTTTACGAAAGTGCTGAAACCAGTGGTAGCATTTCTCAGATTACACGGGATTCGCCTCATTATCTATCTGGACGATATCCTCATACTGTCTGGGACACGATCCCTTCTGCTGTCACACCTGTCGTGGACCCTTCACCTCCTGCAGAACCTCGGTTTTCTAGTGAACTGGGAGAAATCGGTGCTACAACCCTCTCAGCAGATGGAATTCCTAGGATTCCGAGTCGATTCGGTACAACAAATCCTGTGCCTCCCTTCAGACAAGATGTCCAACATCAAGAAGGAGATCAGGAGGATAATGAACCGTTCGGACATTTCTCTAAGACAACTGGCTCGGGTAATCGGCTTACTAGCATCCTCTATACAGGCGATCTTCCCGGGACCGCTACACTATCGGGCGCTACAACGCCTAAAAGCATCCTGCCTAAGGAAGGGTCAGTCGTACGAATCCAACATCACGCTGGACGAAGAATCCAGGGAGGAACTGGACTGGTGGCTGACCCACATGGAAGCATGGAATGGACGGGCAATCTTCGGTTCCACTCCAGATATGATAATCGAGTCGGATGCAAGCTTACATAGCTGGGGCGCGCGCTGCGGCTCCATATCCACAGGAGGCAGATGGTCAGTAGACGAATCATTCCTACACATAAACTCACTGGAACTACTGGCGGCCTCATTTGCCATTCGCAGCCTCACACCCAAGGGCGCCTCATGCTCGATCCTCCTCAAGTTAGACAACGTCTCGGCAGTCAGGTACATAAACCATCTTGGAGGTACCAAGTCACGCATCCTAGCGGTTTTAGCTCGAGACTTCTGGCATTACTGTTTACAAAACAATGTGTCGGTGACCGCGGAACACATACCGGGCCTGGACAATTACACCGCGGACTGGAACTCCCGATATCTGAGGGATTTGGGGGACTGGAAGCTTCAACCAAAAGTCTTCGCCAGGATAGCTCGACTATGGGGGCCCTTGAGTGTGGACCTCTTTGCGTCCAGACTGAACACTCAACTGCCTCAATTCTTCAGCTGGCGACCGGACCCGGAAGCCTTGGCGACAGACGCTTTCCTTCAGGACTGGACCGGGGGACGAGCATACGCCTTTCCCCCGTTCAACCTGATTGCTCGGACTCTAACATACATTCGACGCTTCAGAACCTCGTTGGTCTTGATAACACCGTGCTGGAGATCCCAACCCTGGTTCCCTCACCTTCTGGAAATGGCGATCGACTTCCCACGCTTACTACCGGATCAAACGTCCCTGTTAACCAACCCAGATGGGGAGAATCACGACTTGATAGAACGGGGAATCCTCCGACTCATGGCATGGCTCCTTTCCGGGGACCCTGGGAAATCACGGAAGTTTCGGGAACAACTACCCAACTCTTGGCGAACGCCTGGGCACCGGGAACAAGGCGCGCATATGCTACGGCATGGAGAACTTGGTCCGATTGGTGCCTGGAAAGATCAGTGGATCCCATATCAGCTTCTGTAAAGACGGTACTGGACTTCCTCACTCAATTGTTCGAATCAGGCAAGGCATTCCGTACAGTCAACATCTACAGGTCTGCTATCTCAGCAGGTCATGATACTGTGGACGGGACTCCCCTCGGTCAGAACCCCCTGGTATGTCGCTTACTCAAAGGTATACGTTTTTCACGGCCACCAAAACCCAGGTACGGATCCTTTTGGGATGTCAACGTAGTGTTCAAATTCCTGGAGGAATGGCCCGACAACGCGGCACTGTCAATCAAACAACTGTCCGCTAAACTACTCATGATTTTATGTTTATTATCCTGTAAACGCGTGTCAGATGTAAGGGCTTTGGACTGGCTAGCCCGCTCATTCACTCCAGAAGGGGTGTCTTTCGATATTTCAAGAAGAACTAAATCAGCGACTAAACAAGTTTTCTATCCACACCTCCCGCACCAACCGAAGCTGTGCCCAATTCTATGCTTAAAAGAATACGAAACCCGTACTTCTTCCCTAAGACCGTCAAACTACGGCCCTTTATTCATTTCACTAAAGAAACCGCACCTACCAGTATCCACACCTACTCTCGCCCGTTGGGCCAAATGGTTATTGGCCTCGGCCGGGATAGACGTTACAATTTTTTCGGCCCATTCGGTCAGAGGCGCTATGGCTTCTAAAGCATCGACAGTAGGGTGCCGGTTAGAAGACATCCTGAAGGCCGCAGACTGGTCTACGGAATCCACATTCCGGAATTTCTATTTTAAACCAATCCAACATTTCTCGGACAGAGTCATTGCTCAGCTTTGAAAGAGCATAATAGGAGCCTCCGTGTCTTTAATAAAATTCCTAGATTTTACTATTAACATGACGTAAAGTCATGATTTTATTAAAGACACGGAGGCGAGTATTATTCCCTCCCACCCTCCCTGGGTGGAGGGATTGGTTTTTTCTCACGGATACCAACCACAGATCAGTTGGACTCCTACAATGTAGATACCTGTAGGTGCGCTCATACGTCTCTCAGGTAGGTGACTTTGTGATATAGTAGACATAATCTTATATTACCTCTTGATATGTCGACATGACTACTACGTTATACGACTTAGTTTTTACCTACATGAGGTTACATGATGCAACCAGTTGCCGACCATATATTACCATATTTTCTCCTCTCTTTTAGCCTGAATCATACTGTCAAAGTGGTGATTTTCCGTTACAAAGCGTTGCAGTCTAACCTCAAGGATTGGACATTACCTTTCGCCCGCTGTTCCTGTTCGGGCCAAGTTACAGTTCGGTTATGGATCTGGTCTTCGGATCACGGAAGAAAGAGGAAGAAGCATGGAGTGCTACACCTTATATACTAAGGGGGTGGATACCTATGAGCACTGTTCCATATGCTAATGTTATTGTTATTTTTTTCTCTCATTTGCATATATCTCTCTTCGCTGCTGAGGGAGAATTAAAGAAAGAGAAGCATAATACTCGCCTCCGTGTCTTTAATAAAATCATGACTTTACGTCATGTTAATAGTAAAATCTAGGAATTATTTAATAAAGTAACAATTCAAAGTGAATTCACTGTGAATTTTAAATGTAACACCAGAGTAGTCAAAATTAAAGCATAACCGACTTAGAGAATTTTCCCAGTGTGGCTATTTTAACCTTAAATTTGAAATTCACTTTGAATTCTCACTTTAGTGAATAACCCTGTTAATGACAATTAAAGCAAAGATTATTGCCTTGTCTCTAACAACCCTGCTCTAAGCAAGAAGGGGGCGGAGATAGGTACAAGGCAGTATGGTCAGTTGGTGGTGCCAGCTCCACCGAGGGCTTGTACCCAAATTAATTAATAAACTGAAAAACAGAAATCGTCTCCAACTAGGGAGATCTAAGGATGCTGGCTATGGTAGTGAATAAACAACACAATAGGAATAATACTCAAAAATCTCTAACTTGGTTATGGTAGGTATCTATGTAAGGGAACAGTTGGAACCAATGTTCCAGTATATTTATAAGTGCCCTTTAAATACAAAACTATTTACATATAACTTTATTAATCCTTAATTAAAAATGCGAAAATTAAAGGAACACAAAAAACCCCTACGATGGCTGAAGAGAGAGTTGGCAGTGTTATAACTGCCTTCAATGGTACTGCATAGGTCTAATTTGGCTAATATATTGATTAGTTGTTCGCTATCGCCTACAAGACCTAGTGCAAGAAAGCAGTTTGATCCTCAAAGCGGATAGCCCTAAATGGGTTAAAGAAAGCAAAATTCCTTCAAAGCCTATGGGGATGAACAGGGGGAGGGAACCGAAGATTGCTACGTTTGGATGTTTTTACAAAATAATCATTATAATGGAGAAAAATCAGCCTTCCCTTCTGTACTCAGATAAGCCACAATGGGAAAAATTCAATCACTGGCCATTTAGCTATGGAGAACATCCATAGCTTGGTGACCATTCTTATCCCTTAGTATTTCCCAATGGTATTTTGGTTTGATTTGTTTCACTCAACTTTTCACTTGGGACACTTTGTTGCACGAAATGGGTATTTAGACCCGTTTCTTTTTTGGTTGCTTTCAGTTGGTTATGATGATGGGGAACAGGGGAGACTGTCATATCTCTTAGAGTGAGTACTAGTTTAGAACACCCACGAAGGTGTTACAGGAGACTAGGGACTAGCATTGAAGGTCGTAGATAGGACTCCAGATAATGCTGATATGGTCCACTATAGAGTTGAATACCTCTGGGTGTTACTATGGGATAAGAATGGTCACCAAGCTATGGATGTTCTCCTCAATTGCACAGGAGCTAAACGGACAGCTGTTTAATTTGCCCGTTGTGGCTTATCTGAGTACAGAAGGGAAGGCTGATTTTTCTCCATTATAATGATAATTTTGTAAATACATCCAAACGTAGCAATCTTTGGTTCCCTCTCCCTGTTCATCCCCATAGGCTTTGAGGGAACTTTGCTTTCTTTAACCCATTGAGGGCTATCCGCAGCTACAAAATGTCAGTCATCCCTCACCTGCTAAACCCGGCACGCAGCCTTATTTCATGTCATTGGAAACAAATTACAACCCTGACACTAAGGGAATGGATGAGCAGGGTGGAGGACATCAGACAAATTGAAGAACTGATTCTCTCTGCAACCGGCCGTGCACAAACTTACCATGACACCCGGTACCACTGGCTCAACAGGTTGTCTTCCACTACCAGCATCGTAAACCCATAAGCAGTGGTGAAGAATGGGGGGCTACCTGGATCACCTAACACCACAATAGCATCACGGACTCATGGACACTACACCGAGATTCTCACCAGATAGGAAGGACACAGTGGCCAAGGAGTGTGGCGGCTGGCCTGGGGGGATGGGAGGGGCCGGATGGGATCAGAGGTCTTGCCTCCCCGCTTCTCCTCTTCTCCCCTAGCCTTACATCTTCTCCGTCTTGACCTATATTGCTTTCTGATGACTATGCATTCTCAGGTAGATTGCATTCCTTTCACTGAATAAAACTTTGAAAAAAATAAATTTTTTTAAAAAATTGTGAGAAAGCGCTGCAATTACAGAAATTTGTGCTATAGGTTTATAGCCATTTTTGGACCAAGACACACTTCATTGGTAGTAACAAAAATGAGAATTTTTTTTTTCTTTTCTTTACTACATAGCTTGTTGAAAACTTACTAAAGAGATATGCATACTTCGAACCAAAATTACATATTAGGGTTAATTGTCCAATACAAATCCTAACTTTAATGCTGTCACTTGTTAAAAGCAATTTTTAACCAAGTAAGGACAACATGACGTTCTATGCCCAGCCTATCAGACCTAAAGGAGGGGTATTTAGGCCCAGTTCTCAGCCTGCTCAGTGCCCTGTCGTGGTTTCCCTTGTGGTTGTCCGAGAGTGCATTCCTGTTTATAGTTTTCTACCTGGTTTTTGACTTTGGCTTTGTTTATTGACTTCTCTATATTCTGGTATCCTGACTCCTGGCTTTCCTCATCGCTGTGTCCCTTTCTGTGTTCCCTGACCTCGGCTAGTATTCTTGACTATTCTTTGTACGTTAAATCCGGCCATTCTAAGGACCGGTAATAAGTTACTTATTTGTCATCCGTGCTGTACAGTTCTACGTGCTGGATCAAACAGTAATCCTGACAAGATGTACGAGCAGGAGTTAAATCCCTGAGGGTACCAAGGAACCCCAGGTATCTTTTAATACCTGGTGGACCTCTCTGTGAGCTGGGGCCATAGTTTTTGGCCCTAGACTGAGAGATGAGCTATGAACAGCCCTCAAAGTGAGCACTGCTCATAACTCTATAAATACCTCTGCTAAGTGATCTCGCACAGCTGCACCATTTCTTTCACTGCCCCTATCCTCCAATGTAAAAAAAAAAAAA